AATAAAAACAGGACTTCCTCTCCTCCCCCTAAGCCCCAGCCAGAATTGGAAACGAGGGCGGCTGAGCTGAACTGCTGTACTCCAATGTGTTCCATCTGACAAACGTGTTCCCAGCATCTCTTCTAGGCTCTGCTCCCCAGGAGAAGCCCATGTCACCTCCTGGGCTTGGTAAGAGGGGGTCAGCAATTTCCGTCCCCACAGCTAGTTGCTAAGAGAGTCTCCAGTTCCTCTTCATGTCCCTTCCAAGTCCAAGTCCTCCATAGAACCTGAACTATGGAGTTTTTTGTTTAGGGAGTATAAGGGCTTTTCTCTTCTTGTCATGGAGAAGAGTCGGGGACAGGGGTGTGGAGGCAGGCGTGACTGGCAGGTGAATGTATGAGGGAGGAAGGGAGCTTTCCAGTCACTGTGCTCATCAGATGCCAGGTGCCCTCTGCCCTAACCTACACCTTTATTGCTTCCTCCTCCTCCTCTTCTCCTTCTCCTCCTCCCTCTTCCTCTTCTCCTCCTCCTCCTCTTCTTATCTTCCTCCATCTCCTCCTCCTTTTTTCTTCTTCTCTGTCATCATCTTCTACACAGATTGTGTGTGTGTGTGTGTGTGCACGCACACCCACGGAAGCCAGATGTCAGTGTCTAGTGTCTTTCTCAGAGACTCTTCATCTTTTTTTTTTTTTGAGACAGGGTCTCTCACTTAACCGATTTGGCTAGGCTACCTGGATGTCTTACACAGGTTCTGGGGTGGGGGAGGGGTTTAAACTTGGATTCCCATGCTTGTGTAGCTACATATCACTCACTGAGCCATCTTTGCAAGTGTGAGAGGCAGAGAGAGAATTCCCTGTGGGTCCCGATCTCACCCTCTCATCTGCTTCTGCCCTTGCCTTTAAACCCGGGACACCGCCTTCCTGTTTCCCATCTGCTTCCAGTGCCTTCTGTGGCTTTGACTTGGAGTCTTAGCTGATAACCTCTGAACTTTCTAGGGGTCCTGGCAGTTCTTCCTAATACAGAAGACAGTTTTCAGAAGTGAGTTTTGAACCAGAGCCAGACTAAGGAGACAACTAAGTACAGAGCTCCAGGGGCTGTGACATTCCCACCGATCATAGGTCAAAGGTTCTCTTGTTATTTCCTGCTGTATGTTCTTTGCTTCCCTCACATGGGTCTTACCTGTGCTTCAAACAATTTCTTCTCCCTTCTTTCCCAGCTACAGAGTGAGTCTGTTGAACACAGGGTCATTTGGGGAGAGGACAACCCTGGCAATTAAATGACACAAGTGAAGCAACCCCTACGTGCTGTGTCCGTGGCAGACATCACTAATCAACTACCTCTTCTGGATGAGCCTGAATACATCTCGGGATCTATCTTCACACAGAACCACAACAGGTACCTTATCACAAATAATTTAAGTTGGCAAATGAGATGAAATTTTCTCCTTCCTCCCGCTCCAGTGAGTACAGTGGAGCTCCTCTCCTCTCCTCTCCTTCTCTCCTGGAACCGAACCTAGGACCTCCGCAAGTGCACTCACTGCTCTTAACCCCTGAGCTATTTCTCCTCCTGCTCTTCTCCTTAGTCTTTTTTGCTCTTCTCTCTTGAGCCCAGATGTCTCCTATTGATTCTCTCTGCCTGACAGACACACCCTTCCTTTCTCGTCTTAGCCATTGGCCCTTCAGCTCTTCACCCATTAGGTGCTTAGGCCGGCAGAGCCAAACAGATGCAGCTCATCTTCATGTAATTAAACACACATCCTGGCATCATTAAACAAATGCAGTGTCAACAAAGGTAACACGCTTTTACACAGTTAAAAGTATCAGTCTACAGCATAAACAAATGGAAATACATCTTTGCCTAGGCAAAATAATGTTCTACAACAATCATTTTGTGATGTCATTTGCAAATATACATGCAGAGACACATAAAATATGATTGAAAACTATGTAAAACCAAAGCCATAATTTATGACGCTCCATTGCAATAGAAGTGCAAACCATCTACCAAAATGTTAGCAGAGGTCATGGGGGGGGGGAGAGAATTATGAGTGATTTTCTTTCTCCCCCCCCCCCTCACATTTTCCACATTGTCTATACACAAGCTTATTAATAGTTATTGTTCTAAGGTCAGCCTTGTCTCACCTTTCCAGCCCCCTTCAAAGAAAGGTCTGTGTCTGGGTGCTAAGCTTTAATCATATACTGTACAGAGGTACAGGAGGAGGGGGAGAAGGAAGGGGAGGACAAAGTTGAGGGGGAGGAGGAGAAAGGGGAGGAAGGAAGGCAGAAGAGGAATGGAGGATGGGGAGGAGAGGGAGGAAAAGGTGGGGAAATGGGGGAGGAGGGGATTGGCAGCAGCAGCAGTGTGTCTTCCACTTGCAATCCCCGCACTGAGAGGTAGTGACAGGGGCATCCCTGGAGCCTGGTGGCCAGTGTGACTAGCCTACTTGGTGACTTAGAGGCCAGCAAGAGACCCCGACAGAAGAGAGAAAGGAAGGGAAGGAACAAGGGAGGCAGGGAGGGAGAGAGGCCTGAGAGGGGAAGAAATGTAAGGGAGGAAAGAAGGGAAAGGAAGGGTGGAAGAAGGCTGGATGACACCTCAAAACTGACATATATATGTTAATGCATTTGACCCAAATGATGAGAACAAGTGATTGTTGGGTGCTCGGCCATATATGCTCCATCTGTATCAGCTGCTCCATCTGTATCAGCTGCTCCAAAGCTTAGAGACATCGTGGAAGGGAGGGTGGAAAGACTACAGGAAGTGCTGGATGGGGTAGAGTGCTGTGGCATGGCTGGACACTCCTTGACCCAGAGCAGCTGTGACCATCTGCACAAGGCCTGCATATAATTAGGCTCTTAAACCTTCCATCATTGGGGGGAAAGGGACTGAGTGCCCGTCCCCTTCTCCAAGAATCTGTAGGTAGTTAACGATTGCCAAGGGTGGGAGAGACATTTTCCTCAGTGCCATAGGTGCCCATGATGCTGTAAATAACCCCTTACCCATGCTTCTGTGAGTAACCTGAATGAAGCTCATTTGGGTCAGGAAAGATAAGAAAAACAGAAGAAAGACTACTTGGGAAGAAGAAAGGGATTGCAAGAGGGGAACAAGACGTGGGGGGGGGTGAACATGATCAAAATACATTACATATGTATGAAAACATAACGAAACCCAGTATTATTATACTTACTATATGCTAGTAAAAAAAATTCCAAACATATGTTTGCTTACTTGGATTTGTTCCTATGTATAAGCAATTAATATTCGTGAGGATGGAGAAACATGTACATGTACACACACATACACACACACACACATATACACACACATACGTCCCCATCCTCCTCGTATACAAACACACATATACATATATCTCCACCCTCCACATCTGCAAACACACACACACACACACACACACACACACACACACACACACGGCCTGTCAGCTCTCCAGCACCAGGTCCTGGAAGGCTGCCCCTGCACTGTGAGCCTGGTGAAACCCGTGGGGCAGAGTCAGTGATAGCGATACCCAGAGGCAGCACAGGGAGGCCTGATCTGTGCAGAAAGCTGACAGGACGGGCAGCTCTGTGTCTCCTGCCAGCTCCTGCTAACTCAGCCCAGCACAGAGAGGTGGCAGACTCCTTGTCCCCTCAAGCCACGTCATCCTCCCTCTAATGATGCCGATGTTTTGACAGAGCTGAGCAACACAGCCGGTAGGTGTGAAGTTGGAATTAATTTCCCTCTGAAGGTCAAGTGCATTAATGAGCTGGCTCAGCTTGCCGTTCCTTTTTGTTCTTCTTGCAAGGAGAAGAAATAGGGGAGGTAAGGTGTCACTCCCTAGAGCTTTGCTGCCCTTCTTTCAGAAGATGTGGCCCCCTTTTCAGAGACGCTGTAGACCCAGTGGGCAGACAGCTGGGCTCAGCTCCTACTCGCCCCGAGGAGCTCAAAGCCCACTATATTTGGAAAGTCTCGGCACTGGACTGACATAGTGTTCAGAAATAAGGCATTTAAACAGATGAAAATTTAGAAAACAAAATGGGTTGTATTGCATGTGCCAATCTGCAGCTCTATGGGATTGCTACTGGAGAGACCTTTTGCTGATCATGAGTAGTTAGTAATGCCTGCCTGATCGATTAGCACTGTCTGCCTTGGGCATAGCCTAGGGTGACTATGGCATTTGGAAATGACATCATGATATGTTAGCTGACATAGTGAAATCATGACATCATTACATGTTAGCTGACAGAGTAGAATCATGACAGCATGACATGTTATCTTGACATGGTGGATCCATGACATCATGACATGTTAGCTAATATGAGATTTGTTACATCGTGGCATGTTAGCTGACATGGTGGAATCATGACATCATTATATGTCGGGTGACATGTTAGATTTATGGTATCCTACAGATTGGCTGACATGGTAGATTCCTGGGCATGTTACCTGACATCATGACCTCATATCTACCATCAAGCTTCTGTATTACCCCAAGTGTTATTTGGACTGTTTTTTGGATTGGTAGACTTTACTCAGGGCTTCAAGTTCATGATTCATTCTTCCATGTCCAGCTAAACACCTAGCCATGCTCTGCCCTGTGTTAATGAGGAAGCACCATCCCAGTGACACCTTGTAGGTCAGAGATGACCTCAACAGGCAGCATGTGTGGACTTTTGGGCAAAGATGGAACTCAAGCAAAAATATAGTGTTTGCTTGTTGGGCTCTTGGGCATGATCAGGTTGAGACCAGATCCTCCAAGGTTATAGGCATGAAGGGTTTGTGCACATGAGAACTGAAGTTGAAGAATGGTGTGCGTGGGCTTTAAATACATTTCTTGGCTTTTACATCATCCACAAAAGATCTGCCAAAAGAGGCGTATGCACCAAGACGCCAACACAGAAACAGCTTCCTTCCCTGAGAAGGACTCTTAAAGACCAGTGACTGACCCAATAAGTAGATTATGTTTTTAAAGGACATTGTAAAACCCCCCTATTAAAATAAAGAGAAGGAGAGGTTGTCGCCCCCCACCATCTGACTTTTATTACTATTGTCGTAGAGTTGTGTGGCTGGAGAAGGCAGGATTAGCAAAATAAATTCTGCAAAGAGAATGAAGTCTTCTCTCTAAGCTTGGGGGATTTAACAGAGATAAAATTCCACTCTCCTGTCTCAGTGACCTCCAGCAATTGCTCTGCAAGTGGGACATCTTCTCATGTCCATCCTCCGCATTCCATTCATCTGTTGCCATCTCCCAAACAGAAGGATGCTGACGGGGCTGACGCAGACTTGTGATCAGAAACAGCTGGATGCCTCTCAGATCCTGCACCTAAAGAGGAAGAAGACACGAGGGAGCCTGTCGGCTTGGCCTTCTTCCAGCTTAACAGGTTCCCAGGAAGATGCCTGCCCGGGAATTTAGATGCCTCTGTGTGCCAACTTAAACCCGAGATGGGCATTCCTGCAAATTGCTTATCCAAGATGGCTCCCTCCCTTGTTCTCAGATATGGTTGATCATGACAGCTGGAGTCACTAAGACTCTGCTGTATCCAGTATTGTGGTGCTATGGTCTGACTCCAAAGGGTTTCCCACAGGCTTCTGTGTGAAATCCCCTCCACACACTGCTGGGACTATTGGAGAGAGCTTTGGGGAACTTTAGGAGTTAGGACCTACCTGGAGAAAGTAGCTTCCTGAAGATGGATCCCTCTCTACTTCCTGTATCTCACTCTCAGCTTCCTGTCTGCCAGGAGTAAAAGAAGTTCCACTGTTACACACTCCTGTCACCATAGTGTTCTTCCTATGTCTAAGGAACCAAATAACCACACGCTGACTGCCAAGAAACTGTAGCCAGGACTAGTCCTTTCTCTCTTAGCTTGATTCTGTTGAGCATTTTGTCACAGAGATGAGAAAGGTCATTACCATTCCGTGGTTCATTTCTTCATTTGTTCAAAGAGTAAGCATTTAGTGAGTTGCTGCCCTGTGCCAGCTCTGGGGACACAGCAGTGAACAAGGCAATGCCCCTGCCTCATAGAGCAAACAATCTTGAACTTTGTCAACCCCCCTTGTTTGCCTGTTTAAGAAGCTCTCTCTGCTTCAGGGTCCAACTCTGCACCAACTATCTCTGTTCACCCCAAATCATCCTGTCACACCCCTTTGGAAAAACCAGTGATGTTCTGCTTAACCATCTCTTCCCTAGTGTCCCTTTTACATGTGACATTCTGTTTTGTACATATATAGTCAGGAGCTGATGTACCAACCTAGGTTCAGACAGCTTGCACTGTGGGCGGGAGGAGGGGGGGGAATACTACAGGTTCTAAAGCATTTATGTGAACTCAAGCAAGTGACTTAGCTTCACTGGGCCTCTCGCTGTTCTGTCTAGTGGGACCCATAAGTATGTCTACTGTATAGGATCTCTTTAAACACTAACAAAGGTAGCTGGTGAATCCGCTTTTAGCTCAATAGCTGGAACACAGCAAGGATTCTGATAGGTCAGCCTCTAGTCCTGTTTTATTGAGCGTGTTTTTCAAGAAAGATTTTTTTTTTCTTCCTAAAGGGCCTGTGTGCACAACTGCATGGGGTATGCACATGTGGTGGCAGTTGCCTGTGGATGATATAAGAGGCTGTGGGATGCACCCTGGAGCCGGAGTGACAGCTGTTGTGAGCTACCTGATAAGGTGTGCTGGAACTTAACTCAGGACCTCTGCAAGAGCAGTATGTCCTCTTAACCACTGGGCCATCTCTCCAGCCTCTTATTAAACAGATATTTATTGAGCGTGGTGACAGACACCATTGTGTTACCAGTGTCTGGGTCTCTTTCCTTCGCTGGAAAGAGACATTTCCCAACCCTTTAGCATCCGAGGAAAGATGAGAAGTAGGCTGTGACTAATGAAGGACTGACAGAAATGATGTGTCAGTCACCACCAGCCCAGAAGATGTGACATCCCCTTTCACACATTCTGCAGTCTGTCTTCTTTGCTGCTGCTGCTGCTGTGTAGCAGTTTCTTCCGAGGTTCAAACTTTCTGTCTTGGAAGGAAATTTCTCAAGACAGAAGCTGTAAAGGGGATGTGAAACAACAGGGTGTTTTAGGACAGGATATTTACAAGGAGGTGAAATCCTCCATCCTTCAGGGATGCTCCTTAAGACCAAAAGTAAACGCAAAATAGCTTCAGGAAGTCCCTGAAACTGACCAGATTCACTACTAGGCGCCTCCATTCCCAAGAGTGTAGAAGCAGTAATAACTACTGAGAGTCACTTTTGGACAAGCCAAACAGTGGAGAACACTCTCAGACAAGCCCAGATGCCCTGGAAGAAGCAGAGCCCAATGAATCTGCCTGGAAGAGGCTCAAGTCAACTGAAGCAACTGGAAAGGACACTCTGGACCAGGTTGACCTACCTGCAGGCAGTGAAATACGCTCCAGGTTTCCAGCTTTGGTGAGCTGTCAGCCATGCTGGGATGAGCTCTGGTGATGTACCTGTCTTTGAGTCATCTCTGCTCCTGTAACTTAACCCCTCACCCACTTTCCTGTACGTAACCCCAACAAAACTACAACTTGGTTCACCAAGTTGGATATTGTGCCAACCATAACTTTGTTCTGCTTGTGGGCTCCTTTTCTGGGGTCAGTAGGTGTGTGTGTGTGTGTGTGTGTGTGTTGCATCTCCCTAGGAAATGCCTGTCACACAACAGCTGCATGTTGGCTTCCAGTGCATGCCAATCTGATGGATGCAACCCGGCATTTGAGTTCCCCTTTTCCAGATAGGTCAAGTTGACAACCAAGGTTGCCATCACAATAACTAAATGTGGATTCTCTTCTCAATGCTCATCAATACACGAAAAGGAGAGAAATTCTTTTCTTCAAGTACAAGAAGCCAAGAAAAGCAAAAGATTCCCCATCTAAAGGTCTCATTTGGGACTGTCATTTTTTTTTTCTCCCAGAAAAACTTTCCAAGCATTTTATTGTTTGAAAATGTCATGCATGCATATGTTGCTTTGATCAAATCCAGTCATACTGTCTCCCTCAAACCCCTCCCATGTCCCCCCATCACTTTTACTTCCCATCTTCATGTGCTTTTTTTTTTTTTTTTAAAGCCCACTGAGTTCACTTAGTGTTGCTTGGATGTGCATGGGTTTGCATGGGCAGCAGCCTATAGGGTCCATATCCCTGAAGAAAACTGACACTCACCTTCCCCTAGTAGCCTCCAGTTGCCAATAGTTCCCCAAACTAGTGGTGAGACTTTATGGCTCCCTCCCCTCAACCATGCTGGGATTTGGGCCTGCTTGATCTTGGGTAGGTTTTATGCATACGGTGGCAGGTGCTGTGAGTTACTTGTACAAAGGAAAGCCTGTCCTCATCTGCCCCCGATACCTCTGGTTGTTACAATCTTTCTCTGTGTGTGTGTCTTACTTACTGTTCCATCGCTGTGATGAGATACCATGTCCAAGGCAATGGATAGAAGAAAATGTTTATTGGCTGCTTACAATTTCATGGCTGGGAGCATGGCCGCAGACAGGTGGGCATGTCGTTTGAGTAACAGCTAAGAGCTTACATCTTGAGACACAATCACAAGGCAATGAAGGCTAACTGAGAAGACTGTGGGCTTTTGAAAGCTCAAAGCTCACCCCCAGTGACATACCTCCTCCATCAAGGCCATACCTCCTCATCCTTTCCAAACAACTGGGGACCGAGTATTCAAATATATGAACTTATGGGGGCCATTCCCATTCAATCCATCACATTCCATGCCCTGGCCCGCATAGGATTGTAGCCATATCATAATGTAAAGTGCATTTATTCCAACTTCAAAAGTCCCCACAATCCTTCACAGTCTCGGCACTGTTTAAAGTCCAATGTCTCTCCTGAGACTTAAGGCAACCTCTTAATTGTAACTCCCTGTAAAAACAAAACAAAAAAACAAAACAAACAAACAAACAAAAACAAATTACATACTTGCAACACACAATGGCACAGAGTATACATTACCATTCCAAAAATGGAGAGATGGAGGTCTAGTGAGGAAATACTGGATTAAAGCAAGACTGAAACCCAGCAGAGCAAACTCCTGTAGCTTCTTGCCTGGTATCAGGAGGCTTACGTGGGGCTCGTGTACTCCAGCTTTGCTGTCTGTGCTACGTCTTTGAATATCTGAGCTGTGGCTTGCAGCTTGGCATCCACGTCTATGTCAGGTTCTTGATGGGACCATGAGGCATGAGTAGGGACTACACACACACACACCCATCAGTGTCTGAAAACATCAATTGGAATTGGGTGAGAGTACAGACCAAAAGGCCAGGACCTTAAACAAAAACAAACAAAAAAATAATAATACCTGCTTACGTAAAGCGAAGAAGGGGATGTGCACAAATCATTGAAAGGGTTATTTGACCCTCTTAGAAACCTTAATTGCTAGTAATGGGCAGCCTGTTGGCTGGTATTTTATTAGCACTAATAGATTTTTACAGGACGTTTCTCACTCTACTTTCCAAGAGCCTCGGGAATTCATTAAATATTTAAAAGTACTGCTCAGAGTTGTTCAGTTAAAGATGCCCCTTCTGATGAGGTTTCCCGCAAGTTAGAGACCCGGAGAGAGGCGGTCCGCGCCGGATGGATGCTCGCTGTGCTGTCCGTCTGGGCAATCACAATCGAGAATGTTGACGGAGTGCTTATTGCGTGCTGAGTGCTGCCGTGCTCAGCGCTTTGTGTCTGGGAGTTAAAAATAAAGGGGCTCGAGAGATGGCTCAGCAGGTAGAGGCACTTTGCAGCGGAGAACGATGATCCACAGGGTAGAAAAGGGAGAAGTGGCTCCCACAGGTTGCCCTCTGACCTCCGCATGCGCACTGGAGTGCACATAGGATAAACACATAAACAAACAAATAGATGTACGTAAGCAGAAAGCCGGGGATTCCAGATTCTCTGATACTTACCCACTTAGGGGGAAGCCGAAGCTTCAACCTCAGAGGTAGCAGGAGTGGAGGCGTGGAGAGGGAGTGGAGGGATGCTGGCCATGAGGTGTGGGCTGGAAGAGGGCTTCCCCAAAGGGTGCTGCTGCTGAGCGAGCCGTGTGTGAGCTGGCCGTGTGTGAGCTGGCCGTGTGTGAGCTGGCCGTGTGTGAGCTGGCCGTGTGTGAGCTGGCCGTGTGTGAGCTGGCCGTGTGTGAGCTAGCTGTGTGGTTCCTAACCTCCCTGAGCTGCCCTTTCCTCTTTACACGACAGAGATCCTTCTTCATTTGGCAGGGGGAGGGGGTGAGGTCACAGGTCAGAGAACTCAGAAGAGGGGAGGTCGGAACTTGCAATATGGTCTCAGCCTTAGTCCACGTGTTTATTACTGCGTTAACTGATGTATTAGTCCGGTTTCCTAGAGTGTACATGTGCATGTACGCGCGCGCAAGTGTGCACGCACACATACACACACACACACACTTGTTACTAGAAGTTCAATATGCTATCCACTGAACCACAGAGCTACCTACACTTTCTTTTTTTTTTTTTTTAAAACATTTATTTCAGTAGAAAAAGTTCTCTTTTCTGCCCCTTCCAATCTGTGATCTGCCAAAGCTTCTGTGGGTCATCCTTTCTCTTTATTCTCTGTTGTTTTTCGTTTTCAGCCATAGAATGTGTTCATGGTGATTAATATAGCCCAGTGGTTTGAATGAGAGACAATCCCCCTCACACCCACTCGCACATACCCTTGGGCACAGATATTTGAATTTTTGGTTCCCAGTTAATGGTGCTGTTTAGGGAGGGGGAGCCTTGCCGGAGGAAGATCTTCTCTTGGGGTGGCCTTAAGAGTTCACACCATGTTTAGTTCACTCTTCCTGCTTCCTGTTTATGGTTGGAGATGAGATCTATCAACTTTCTTCCCCCGCTGTCTGCTGTCACGACTCTTCCACCATACGGACTCTCTCCCTCTGGAACCCGAAGCTGAAATAATCCTTTCTTTCACGATCGGCCTTTGTTTGTGGTGTTTTACCACAGCAGCAGAAAAGTGTCTAATAACACCCAAGCTGGAGTGGTGCGTGCATGCAGATGTAAATGCTGCAGGGGTGGGTTGGGGAGGGGGATGCTTTCAGGTGTGAAGAAAATGCAGGAGCTGGGTGACTATTACAGCACACAAAAGTGCCTGCTCCTTCCTCTCTCCCTACTTCCCCTCTCCTTCATTCCTTCCTCTCCTTTTTTCTTCCTTTCACGCATCAACAATTTCTTGATTGCCCACAGTCTGTGGCCGTTCAACGTTTCATTGGTTCAATTCGTGCTTGTGGAGCATCCTGGCATGCTGGCCATTACTGTGGGCAAAAGATGCACCACAGAAGAGGTGATGAGGGGATGGAGAAGATGAAAAATATGGCCACACGACACGATATGCATGTGTAGAATCATCAGAACAAAAGAAGGAAAATGTTATAGGGAAAGCAGGTTTTTTGATAGTTCATATACTCGTATCAGGTTAATGACTACAAAAGAAAAGGGGAGGCGCATGGGTGGTCGCAGGTAGTGACTGTTTGTTATTGCTATTAATTGTGATTAGGAACAGATATAGACCATTAGTTCCATTTCCTGGTCTTGCACCCATGGATCTCAGTACTTTCTATTGCTTCATACTCTTCATGCATGGAATTATAATAGCCAGTGACCTTTCTTTGGAGGCTCATTTCCCACTTTCAATGTTTATTCTAAAAACGTTTCTTGAGCCCATACTCCGTAGCTGATGCTATGCTAGCCTTTTAACATAGGGTAACAAATACTGAACTGGGTCCATTTTATAAGCCCCCTACATTTGTGAATCTCACATTAGTGTGAGAGAGAGACATCATATGAGCAACCAAAAATATTGTCACGTGGTGGTAAGAGGTGTGAAAAAATATAAATTGTGGATTTGGGTGAATGGTGGGAGGCAATTTTAAATGAATTGATTGAGCCAGCCTTATTAACTGGTGACTTTTAAGTCAACATACTAAGGGAGATGGAGAAAGAGCTAGAAAGATATTTGGAGGAGGAGCAATCTAGATAGCTGGAATAGCACATCCAAAGACCACTGGAGCCAGGTTGGGTGGTGTGGGTCTGCAGTCTCCACTACTCATGAGGTTAAAGCAGTAGATTGCAAGTTCAAGGCCTACCTAGGCAATGATGTGTATCTCAAAACATCAAAGGGAACTGGGGAATGCAGCTCTGTGGTGGAGAGAGGGCTTCCCATGCACAAGACCCTGTGTCCAATCCCTTGTATCACAGAACCACTGGAATGGAGTAAGGCAGGGGTATTTGAAAACAGCTGGAATGAGGAGGGGAGGATACAGTTGAGTGCATGATGGAGAAGGAAAGGATGTGGGGTGGGGAAAAGCTGTGGAAATGCCTACCAGTAGTGTTCTGCTGTGATCCTCAGTTGCCCATTGACTGTCACACCTTCATCCCAAAGCCTCTGCGTGCTTCCCCAAGGAATGAAAGCCAACTGAGTCTGTACCCAAATTGTGTCAAGGTCTTTGCCAGGACTCAGAATTCATAACAGGCACTTTAGATTTTGTGAAGAGCCACAAGAGATATGTAAGTTTTGTGGGACACCTTCCGGAGTGCATCTGTCAAAGTGCCTGTTTCAATAGTAAGTTGGGTGCATTCATTTTGTCCTGAATTCACTTTCTTCCATATGTATGTAGTCACTTCCACTTTCTTTTGATAAGCGGGATAACTCACTTCATCTTTACCCTACCTTGTGATGTTCAAAGTGAGTCTCTGCCATTTAATTGATGTGTTTAGGCTATTTATATTTAATGGAATTATTCATATGCTGAAATTTAAGAATGACATTTTATTGCTTGTGTTCTTCCTGTTCCCTCTACTTTTTCCTTCCCTGTCTTCTTATAGTCAGGCTACTTAACACTTTTTAATATTCTGTCTTCATGTATCTATGCTATTTTTGAGGATATCTGTGTATACATTTTTTATGTTTCCTCTAGGCATGAATATGTATTATTTCTTTGCATATGGGGCTTATAGTTGGTATGTCTTTTCTTTACAAATGTGACTGTTCTTTATGTCTTCCACAAATTTTGATTTTTAAAAATCTATATCAGTGGCTTATTTCCCCTGTATGCAGGGTGTGGCTTCTATCTGGCTGTTTTAACTCTTTGATTGCATGTGTATTTAAGTTTTATAAGATTGACAATGATGTGTCTGGATGCACATTTTTATATTATTCCTGTTCGAAGCTCACTACATTTCTCCATGTTGTGAGACTTCCTTCCCTGGGGAGATATAAACAAATGTTTAACTCTTTAAGGCCCCCAAACAAATGAAAATATCATTCTGCTAGAGTCCAACTTGGGGAACCAATGAGTCTATTGGGTTTCCTTATAGAGCATGGGCGAGGGGTTCCCTACAGGAATGTAGATGACCTCAAGGCATCCATGCTCAGAAAGCCTCACCCCAGCGTGGATAGTGCCTTCCCCTAGCTGCATAGATGGAGTCCTCCCTTCTACAGTCTATATACTGGAGCACCTCTTGGGATCATGAGACCATGGACAATTAGGACAGAACTACAGTACAACTGGCCAGGAGGGACAGCTAGAATTTCAGGTGAGGATCCCAACAGTCAACTAGCTCAACATTGGTTGTCTCTTACAAGTAATTGCAACCATGCTAATGAACATGTCAGCCATTATACTATGAGGACAGGGTTTACAACACACCAAAACCATATATATGTCTTTTTTCCCATACTGATAGCACCTTTTTCTATTAACATCTTCAAATAAAATGATTTTCAATTTTATGCTCTCCTCTGGAACTTCGATGAAACGGACATTAGATTTTTTTTATTATTATTATCTAGAAGGTTTTCAACACTCTGGTCCTCGTTGAAAACTCTGTTTTTCTTTCTGTTGTTTAGATTGTTTAGTTCCCATTGACTTGCCTGCAAGTCTACTACTTTGTTCTGACAGAACCTACCCCTTGGGCTTTTTGCTCAGGTCCATGTGTTTTTTCACCACCACCCCCAGTTCCCATCCGGCTCATTTTTGTGTCTTCTCCTTCTCTCCTGAACCTCCCTTTGCTTCCCTTCACTTCAAGTAACAGACGGTCCCTACGTTTGTGTCATCTCCGGCTTGACATCTGCTGATTGTCATTTCCTATTTGACTTGAGATTTCCCTGGTTTGGGTATGGGGAGCAATTCTGTGCTCAACAATAGACATTTTTAGTATGAAGTTGTACAGCTCCGGGTCTTGTTTCAATCTCTTGTTTTTGCAAGTAGCCAAACTGCTGAGGTTCTGGCTGACTTCTGTGGGCTCTGGTTTGAATAGCCACTGAATTCTCAAATCCTTTGCAACACTATCCGGGTGTCCTGTGTGCTACCTAGAGGCCAATAGGAAGCCTGGGTGGTATTTTCTTCTATAGCTTAATTTTCAAAGATATAACAACACCCCCCTCTAACCCCTGTGATCCTGCTTACTTTCATTCATGGTCTGTTTGAGGGCATGCCAAGGACTTCATTCAAAGTTTCTTAGTTCTCTCATACTTTAGGCAGATGATTGAAGAAGCCCGTGGATGGCTCACTCCTATAATCCTTGCCCCTCTGCATCTTCTACTAGGGTGAGGAGGATGTGCCCCATATTTGTTATCATTTGGGGACAGTTAAAAGGATCTCTGTTGACATGGAGGAGGTAGAAAGGGTCATTCTTGACTGCCAACAGCAATGTAGGACCGAGAAGGTGGACAGAATTCCACTCCATGTTCACTGCAGGACTTGGTGAAAAGGGGGAGGAGGACCCCCATATTTGTGTTGATGGGTGGTGCCCCACCCTCTAGTTAACAGCCTGCTCTGTTCACAAGAGATGGGGTGTAGTCTCATAGAGTTCTCTTAGACTTAAGCAGTATAGTTAAAAACACTGACTTCTGACCTCTCCCGGGCCTTTAGCTGGAGAATTTGTCTTTCCTCCCTTCCATTTCCTGTCTTTCCTTGGAGTGTGTGTGTGTGTGTGTGTGTGTGTGTGTGTGTGTGTGTGTGTGTGATCCACATCCCTTGGTGTTTCTGAGCTGTGGCTACTCTAATGTCTAAGTTAGCATCTATAGGAGACTGCGGCTTCCCCTGCCAAGCTGCACACCTAGCTCTCAG